CTCATCACCTGAATCTCCTCCTAGAGCACCATTGTGTTCTTTTTAACCAAATATCTCTCAGAGGGGCGTGGGGAGTGGCTCCTTATTTTCATCTAAAGTAACAGACAGAGAATCAGCACTTTTGAAACAGGGCTGAAACAGAGGGGATTATGGGATGCTGCAATGATCTGTTTGGTATTTCAGCCAAACACTTCAGAGACATGTTTTGTATATATCTGAGACCTATAATATATTGATGAAAAACAGTATGATCGGGGACCTTTAATTGAATTTCCTCAATAGTTGTGAGGACATTTAAAAATCAGCCACATGGTGGAGCTAGAGGAAAAATCCAAAGACATTGGGAGACACAATTTGGGCTTTCTCGAAACCCATTGGATATCTGACAAAGATCCAGCCTGTGATGCCACTATTTCAGGGGGTTTAAGTGCAGCCAGGAGATATCCAGGCCAAGACCTCCTTCTTCTTGCGCCACGTAGTGTTTAAAATTCGATCAGCAACCTAAAACGCAAGAATGGATTAAATTAGAAGCTAAATTATCTTACATTGAGGCTGATGCCTTCCGACTCTTGCTAGTCACAAAGCTAACCTGTATAAAACCAAAGCCATTTGCCGAATACAAACTAACAACTGAAACCAAAATGTTGTCCTGAATCTGCATTCATATATAGATATCTGTTATGATGTATGAATGTCTTAATCTAGTAGATTTTACAATGTGTATCAGGGAAGGTGACACTTTGACTAGATGGTGGCGCACCTTAAAGTTATTCAGTCATGTCAACACAATATAAATCCACTTTAAAATGCATAGATATCACGACAAATAAATACTAAACCTGCTAAAGATTGGTCACGAAAGTCATTAGGCTTCATCTTCTTGGACCATGAATAGTACTCACTAATGCCATTTTGCTACCGTGGCTGAAAACATAATAAAGACGGCTCTGGCTATTCTTCATCCCCTAGTGTCTTTGGCTTGTAGCCGAGGATTCAGCGATTATAATTAGTTTGACTTAATTGTGTTTACATGTGCAAACAGTCTGACAGAGTGATAACAGGCGAACCAATTTAGAAGTGTCTGACAACCTGATGATGAGGATCCACATGCTCAGAGTTAATGTGATTATAGGAGTAATTAAAGCCAAGCTGTGAAGGAGCTGAGACACCTTATCTTACCTTAGGTTGGAGTTTATCAGGCACACGGAGACATCTTCAATTTAAAGCAGCGATGACACCATCTCCATCTCTTAGATTCCATCATTTCAGCAGCAGCTTTTAAAAATGATTCTGTCATGAAGTGCTATATCAGCAGCAGACGAGGAAAAGAATGAAGCAAATGACGCCCCATGGATTTGCAGTCTATTTTACATTACAAATGATAACTGACAGTGAGATTAACTACGTGATCCAAGATGACAAGATTTATCACTCTGCTACCGATTCCTATTTTTAGAGTTGAGTTGCTGAAAGCATGTAAAGAGAGACATTGTATTTTGAATCGCTTATTGTTAGTAAAACATGATTACATTTGTTGTAGGTGGAGTTCGGCTAGAAGCTCAATAACTCAACGTTACACAGGCTAGCATGTTTTCGTACTATGGCTAAAGTAAGCAAGCTAATGTAACGTCATATTAATCTATTCCGTTTTTAACTGGGCACTGTACTATAGCCTACCACCCAAAGTTACATAAGACCCTAACATACATGAACATTAAACCTTTTTATCAACTACTGAGTCCTCAAAAGATTAAAAGAAATGACAACATCCACAACTCAGACGAGGAAGAAAATGGGAAGCTTATGAATTTGTATTTTTTCTTTTAACATTTATAACATTTAACATATCATATGATTTTTGGCTTAGACTTTGTAGCTTTAATAGACCTCTTTTCTGGTGTTTAAAACATGATAACATTTGTTGTGGATAGTGTGGCTTCAGGCAGAATTATTCTCTGAAAACATTAGCTAACACTAGCTAGCAGGATGTTTTTCATTGCATCTTTGGCTAACATAAGCTAGGTAGCTAACGTAACGTCATATTAAATCAATGTTTACCTGGGCACTGCACTATACCATCAAAAGTAAAATAAAAAAACATCTTAAACTCAGACGTGTAAGAAATTAAGCAAATGCGGCTTTATGGATGGATATTTTATATTTTGACATGATTACTAATAATAACTGACTGACTGATGATATTTAATATGTGCTACAAGATGGCAGGATTTCTCCCTTTGTGGGTGAAGCGTTACTAGCCAGTTTATTCTCTGAAAACATTAGCTAATGCTGGTTAGTAGGTTTAGTTTAATTGCAGCTTTTGTTAACATAAGCTAGCAAGCTCATATGAATTCAGTTTTTACCTGGGCGATGCACAATACTACTAAAAAATTAACCCTTTGCTGTCAGTAAAACGTTTTTTACATATTAGAGAACTTAAAACTGTAATCAAATTCTGTTTACAAAGTCAAGATACAACTCTGATAGTAATCTTTAAGGAGAAAGTGTCATCATTCAGAACTGTGAATGACGTGCACATAGCAGGTGAGGTCTTCTCCTGTTTGACACTTATTGACATGGATGTCATGGAAGTGCCAAAAGTGAGGAGGAACCGCAGTAAAGATAGCAACATTTTCCACACACTGCCAACAATGTAAACCTGTTCATCATGAACCACTTCTTTGCAAAATGGACTGTTGGACTGCATGTCCATGTTTCAATCTATTGTATGTATAAATAATTGATTATCCTGCACATGCATGGTTATCAAAAACTCAATAATGCGGAATCAGTATGCATGGACACGCACAATAAGCTGTTTATGTGATGAGGGAAGATAAGGGAGGGTATTGTAATTGTCAACACAGTGCTTTTGGCAGAACTGTATTTTATTATGGTCATGCCATTAAAGCTATTTCATTTGACTGTGAATTACCCGAGACAAGGATGAAGATGATATATATTATGTCTGCTGTCTCAGAGTCATGTCATGTTTAGATAATGAAGGAACATTTTGATGGTTTTGCTCCATCAGATCACTCAGAAGCAGTCCCGTGTGACAGTGGTTCATTCCTTCCTTGTTACAATGATAACAAGACAGTAATTGTTACGTTGGTCAGTGGGCTGAATAATCAATCAATGTGTAAATTGTGTACAAACGATGGTGTGTGTGACAGGTACCAAATGATACCTACCATCAGCATCCTTGATATATGGGCATGTATAGATTAAGGGCTGCTTTTATTATCCTTACAATACTATCTCTTAATTGTATTACAAAATCTATTACTACAATTGCTTACATGTCTCTAAAGTATTATCAGTTCATAAGCACATTGTTTTTTTTGCTGTTTTGCAGAACGCTTTCTTAATACTTAGTATATAAAAAAAGAAAACATATAGCTTGTTTTAATTTAAATGTTTCTAACTAACGTTCATTCATTTTCTTTTCACAGTTGTGATTTGGCAACACATATAGAGCATCGTGCCAATTAATTAATTTGAAAATTCAGTGACCAAAAAAAAAATCTATGATGAACAATTTAAATAACTGTAAAATAACAAAGAAAATAGTCAAAGTGCTTGGTTTAATCTATAATTGTTCATACTATCATCTCTATCTGAATTAGTTTGCTCTTTCTGGGCTGCATGACTAATGATGTCTTTAGACTCGCCCTTGAACATGTGATGAAAGAGCACATTTATTTCTTTATGGGAAATAAAAAGCAATAATGGACTTTCTGAACCTGGAAATGTGGTATTATCAGTAGACATAAAACACAGGAAGTTCAACATATCAGGTTAAAAGGTTCCTCTATATCAGCTCATTGTAATAATCATTTGACATTTAAAGGAGCTACTATCTGCTAATAAGTGTCATGGGGAAGGTTAAAGAGAAAAACACTACAGTACGTCAGTTACACAGGTCCAGTATCCGGTGATATCAGAAAGTATTTAAAGAGGACATATCCTGCTGATGTTCAGGTGTATATCAGTATGTAGTGTCTCTACTTTAAAGAGTCCTCTCCTGCTGATGTTCAGGTGTATATCAGTATGTAGTGTCTCTACTTTAAAGAGTCCTCTCCTGCTGATGTTCAGGTGTATATCAGTATGTACTAGTGTCTCTACTTTAAAGAGTCCTCTCCTGCTGATGTTCAGGTGTATATCAGTATGTAGTGCCTCTACATTAAAGAGTCCTCTCCTGCTGATGTTCAGGTGTATATCAGTATGTAGTGTCTCTACTTTAAAGAGTCCTCTCCTGCTGATGTTCAGGTGTATATCAGTATGTAGTGTCTCTACTTTAAAAAGTCCTCTCCTGCTGGTGTTCAGGTGTATATCAGTATGTAGTGTCTCTACTTTAAAGAGTCCTCTCCTCCTGATGTTCAGGTGTATGTAGTGTCTCTACTTTAAAGAGTCCTCTCCTCCTGATGTTCAGGTGTATATCAGTATGTAGTGTCTCTACTTTAAAGAGTCCTCTCCTGCTGATGTTCAGGTGTATATCAGTATGAGTCTCTACTGGAACATGTCTCCATGCTTTAATGTTCAAAAAGCTCTGTATTCTTCTCATACTGCCTGTGCTGCAGCACCTCTTTTCACCCTCTGTCTGAAACCAGAGCCCAGTCTGCTCTGATTGGTTAGCTGTCCGGCTCTGTTGTGATTGGTTAACCGCTTAGAGATGTCACGTACAATGTGTTGGAGCACTGGCCAATAGGAGCGAGAGTGTTACATAGTGATGTCAATATGTTCTGGAAGTAAACAAAAGGACTCCAATGAATGCGTTTCAGGCAGGGGAGTGTGTAGGAGAGAAACTCCCTCTAGAGACCATTTACATGCACCAAAACTTATATAACACACTACAGGAAAGGGGAAAAACCATAATAGGGCGTTCTTTTTTGTGAAGCCCGTTATTGGATTTATTCTGAATCCTGATCATATTATATAACACTGCCCTCATCTGGTCATTTCCAGAGTCCACTAACATAATGAATGATGAGAGCATATTGAAATGAAAATCACAGGTTATTTTAATGACTGAGTGGATTGTTCATTTATACAGTGTGCTTTGCAAAGAAAAAAAACATTTTAAAGATCTCTGTATCAAAAAAACAAAAAACATGTTGTACCATTACTACTTGGAAATAACATTAGAGAAATACTTTACAATTAAAACATGTCAGCATTACTGAGGATGTACAATATAATCACATCTACAGAGGTGATCTATACAATTGCAGCCTACAGGGGGACTTGCATATATAAAGTACCAATAAAACAGCCAGGAAAATAAAAATATGTACATTTTCCCGCTCGGATAATTCAATTATATAAACATCGATTTATAGACTTTTTTTTTCCTATACACCCAATTTAAGGAACATAAAGTGCCTTATTAGAAAAAGAAAAAAAAAACCTAGTGACATGTGCTCCATGAGAATCATTTAAATGACAAAAATACAGTAAAAAATGCACACATATTATTGTTAGGAATCAGCGCTCTGAGGGTCTACTCACACACATGTGGATTCAAAGAGTTTAAATAAGAAACACACTGCTGTCGTTCACATTACATGAGATCCTGTGAGGAGTAAGGCAGGTGTTTGTAGTACCAACACGCACTTATAGCCAGTTTAAAACACATTCGTTTAGTGGTACCATTAAGGGTGTTAAAGGAGTGATTCGCCCAGAAAATAATATCAATTAATTCCCCTTTAAACCTTGAATTCTTGTAGAAAACTGTTCCTTTTCATTCGCAGGGAAATATATCAATGTTGTATCTGTATTTTGTATTTTATAATATGTTGTAAATGTATTTGTATTGGTTTTGAATTGGCTGTATTATAAATGTATCACTGTTCGAGCTCTGGATTGTTTGCCTTTATCAACATCATTTATTCTTGTTCATCAAGAATCTTATAGTGAGGCAATTTCAGAGAAGCACCAATATCGATTATGGGATATTGAATCGAAGGAGAATTCTTGATAAATTGAAGTAAATTAAAGTGGTTTAACAACAGCTTAAATGTACGAAAACATCAATACAAAAAAAATAAACGAGACTTGGTTTGTACTGCAAACAATATGAATGAGAGTTTGGATGTTTTGGTATAATTTTAGTGTTGGGAAACCGTACATTTTTCATTGTCTTGATGTCTTCGCTCACCGTAAAGCATGTGATTTCTTCAATAACTTAAAGGTGAGTAATTCATAATCATTTTGTGGGTGAATGATTCCTTAAATAGGAGCTACAAAGATCTCTATGTGCATAGTCTTCCCTCAGAAGGAAGTAGAAGAAGGCAGGTGAAGGCGTGGGGAGGCGTTTCCCCGGAGGTGATCACCCTCCAGCGGTCAGTCTTTCTGGGGTGTGTTTCGGGAGGTGTGTGTGTGGGGGGTGTGTTCCCACTCTTTCATTTAGTGTTGGCACCAGGTACCTCCATCATGGACGCACCTACAAACTAACTCATCGAGTCCTGAACTCCACGGAGAACGTCTGAGGAGGGGAACCGATCTGAGGCTTCTTTAGCTTCAGATCAGCGACAGTAGTGTCTCCAGCTGTTAGCAGGTTAGCATGCAGTCAGTTATTTAACGGACCACAGGCTTTTTACTCCTCCATCTAAGTGCTTTACTGGCTAGCATTAGCAGCTAAGGCCGATGAAACCTGGAAGACAAAGAGGGGGAAAGGTTATTGTAGCTGCGAATGTCTTTCTAATAACCTTCCAAAGAGATCTGAGGATGATCTTCTGATGTTCAGGTGAATAACGGATGTATAGGAGGTAGGATTCTGACCGGGTGTAGATCCTGCTTTCTTCGTGAACCTCCATCTCGGAGCTCTTGAATTCGTTGAGCTCTTTACGGATGGCAGCCTGAGGGCAGACAGAGAGAAACGCCAATTCAGCTTTTATTCATTCACAACGAGGCACAGAGGAAGAGAGGCAGCGTGGGGATAACTGTACAAGAGAGCTATCAAGGTGTTTGACAGAAAGACACATTCATACCACCACTGTACCATCCTTGAAAAACACAATTTCTTGAGTTTGGAAAATGTTAAGTCTTTTAAAAGTATGTGTTTTTTTTATAAATGTTTACATGGACTGGCCCCCCCTCCCTCCCTGAGGGGAACTCATCCACAAAAAACACACTGGACGCTGCACTAGGTCAGAAACCAGAGGAGACTGAAGTCCACCGCAGACGGACCACTTTTGGACAAAATGTCCTCTCCCAACTGAGATACGGGATTGTCCCACTTTGAACAGTTTTAAAGGACAACTTAAAGTGGACCTATCATGCTATATTTGAATAATATAGTGTAGGACCATACCTATTTAAGGCATATTTATACTTTTTTCTTTTCAAAATACCAAACAGATCATGCATTTTAGCCATGCCTCATTTTGCTCAATTTGACAATTTCTAGCTCTGTTTTAGCAAGGGCAGATTCTGTGAGAACAGCACCACCTACAGGCCTGGCATATGTACTACAGCGTCTCCAGCGCTTTCGAACGGCAATGGCCGTGGCTGTCTCCTCCTGATTGGTGGAGTTGGCCCAATAGCCGTAGCGCCACCGTCCTGACGTCAGGACAGTGTTCAAATCTGGATCAGTTTTTATCAGATCCGTTGCAGCCCCTTTTTTAGAGATTTGGGTATGGAGGAAAATAGAGAGGGTTGTGTTTTCTGACACTTGGTGAGTTCCCTGGAACACCGGGGACACATATTCATGTAGAAAAGACGTACAAAAGTGCATTTTGCATGATAGGGCACTTTAGGTAGCTCTTGTATCTTCTCTTGCCCTTTATATACCATAGCTGCTACATTGTGCTGCCATGTGGTAAATGCTTATGCTGCTCATGCTCTTTCTGCATATCATGTATTTATTTTTGCTATGCATATAAATGTCATGTTCTTAAATGTTGTATGTGACGGGAATACGGATGGAAATTAGCTCAAAGCAAAAATCCGGCATATTTACATTTTGAAGCCTTAATTGTTAAAAATGTTCATCAATGTGCACTGTCCCTCTTCAAATAAACGATTCAATGAAAAAATAAAGCTGAAGATGTTTAGATCACTGCTGACTGTCACGTAATTATTTTTATTTTGTTATGTTTAATTATTTGAATATATATATTTTTGGATTCTTTTTTGTTTTATTCTTTTTTATTTTAAACATTATTTTACTATTTTAACTAGTATATTGATAAATAGAGAAAATGCGTTAATCTAGTGGAAAATAGTAAAAAGTTAAATTAAAAAGCCTCAAATTATAAAAAGAGTTGCTGCTATAATGGCAATAAGATAAAAAAAAATATGCTTTATGGTTTTCAATCGGGACATTTTAGTTCTTTTTAGTCCTTACTTTATTATATAGGGGAAGAGTTTGAACTTAATACATGAAAAAATAAAGCACAAAAAGCTTAGGCCATTTGCAAAAACAGCCAAAATGGTAACAAAATGAAACGGTAAAGAATATGTGCTTGAAGTAACTTCATATATAATCCCAGTTCCTTCATGTTTCCTGAGCCTTACAGAACCAGGTCATTCACTGGGTAAAACTCAGCTCAGACATTAAGCAGTGTGAACAACAAGTGTGTGTGTGTGTGTGTGTGTGTGTGTGTGTGTGTGTGTGTGTGTGTGTGTGTGTGTGTGTGTGTGTGTGTGTGTGTGTGTGTTTGTATTGCATTCCTGGGATTCCTCCTCGATACTGAATCTGCTTGGAATGCAAGTCCTCCATCGCTGGTAAAACCTCTCTTTCTGCAGGAGCTCTAAGCCTCAGTTAGTGTGTGGAGAGGATGGAGAGTGTGTGTGTGTGTGTGCGTGCGTGTGTGTGTATGTGTGTGTGTGGAGAGGACGGAGTGTGTGTGTGTGTGTGTGTGTGTGTGTGTGTGTGTGTGTGTGTGTGTGTGTGTGTTCCCACCTTGTCGGCAGGAGTGAGCTTGGTCCACGGTTTATCGGCTCTCCGGTCGTACTCGTGTGCGTGCGTGCTCTCCACGTTCTGATGGAAACGGAGGATCTTCCTCGCCTCGAGCTCGGCCACCGTGGGTCTCTGAGAGAGCTGAGGGCCGAGAAGAAGTGTTAAATTACATCTGTTGTATATATACATCTAAAAACATGAATAAAAGGATCAGTTTAAAGTGTGGTTATCTGGTCCACGTGTGTGATTCAGGTCTCGTGTTCATCCTGACCTTTCTGGTGAGCCTCCGTTTGATCTCACAGCGCTCTAATCGCCGGTCGTCTTCGTTCTTGGCTGCAGGAAGAAAAAACACATTCCATGAGGAGGAGGAAACACTGCAGGCAGTCAGCTGCTTCACCCGAGACGCCGTAACGGGAAGCTTTAATCACAGCGAGCTGCGGACAAAACGCTGCTTTGTGTGAGCGCCCGTACGAAGCGTGGCCACGCCGAGTCGTTTCAGGACAGAAGAGCGGCGCCGTGGAGGAAAACGAGATCAAAACGTGTCGACAGATCCTGAAGAATCACGATAACACTTCACGTTCTGGAGACAACTGTGAGAAGTGATGCTTCACGACAGCACATGTTTACTGCAATCACTGTTTTTAAACCAATTAAACCAGGGGTGTTCAAACTTTTTTAACTGAGGGCCACATACAGAAAGCTATAGAGAGGCGAAGTCCCTCCCTTTCCGGGGGACCTCCATGGGACCTTATTTCGGAAAAAGTATGTATTGAAGTCAATGGAGAGAGAAAGATTATCTTTCGATCCCGTTTGAATTGTGCCACGAATTACACATATGATGTTTGTCAATTTAAAAGATAATTTTGCAAGTCAAAAAAATAAAAATGTGTCGTAAAACTGTGAAGTAACACTTTTTTTGTGTGAAACCGCTCAATGAACTACATCTCCCGTCTCGCACCACACACCAAGACGGCCGTCACGTTGGCACATTTCACTTCTTTCTTTCAGAATGAGGAGAAAAGTATTAAAAGAGGTGAAAATCACTCCAAGTCTGGGCATGTTGAGAGCTGTACATACACACAAGGGGAGTTAGTCGGTTCCGTAAGAGCCAGCATGCGGGACCGGGATTCTGGGATTTGTAGTCTTTCTAGTTACGTATTTTTCATAGTCTTATATTTTAACAGTTTTACGACAAACTGTGACTTTTTTGACATGGAAATGATTTTTTAAAATTGACAAACATCATATGTGTAATTCGTGGCACAATTCAAACGGGATAAAAAGATAATCTTTCTCTCCCCATTGACTTCAATACATAATTTTTCCGAAATAAAGTCCCATGGGTCGGAAGTAGATGGGCGGGACTTCGCCTCTCTATACGAAGGGCTGGGCCACTCACTAGAGGTATTTTGCCTCATAAGATCAGTTATACTGTAAGTTAGCAAAATCAATCAAATGCAGATTGCTCATGATAAGAGGAAATATGAAGGGTATATTTCAAGCTTGTTTAGGAAATAAGTTATTGGGATTTTTTCTTATCAACTAAGATTTGTTAGAAATAGTTTGACTTGAATTGACTGAATGCATTTGAAAAGTGGTCTCATTAACACATGAATACTAGTGTGTAATATATTTGTACATTTATATTTAAGAAGTGCAATCTAAGACAAGCACAAGTTTCTTTTGTGGGCCATATTTCATTATACCTTTTGAATTTGCCGAGGGCCGATAAAAAATGGCCCACGGACCGCATTTGGCCCCCAGGCCGTAGTTTGGACACCCCTGATTTAAACATATTTCGATCTATCAAAACTTTACTCAGTTCTCTGTTTCTGTTTTCACCCAGGAGGCATGAGAGAAGATATTCAATAATTTGAACGAACACGGGGCAACAAATGGTTATTTTTCTGGGTGAAATATTCCTTTAACGATCTCGATGGTACCAGTAAACGGATGTGTGCTAAACGTGTTTTTGTATGTGGTCAATATGGCCAAAATCTTGTAAAACCGTATACTCATATTAAGGAAACAGTTTATATCCCTACACAGTATTGTTCTGTAGACTCAATTAAGTCATGTTTAAAATAACTATACTGCACTCTATCTTATTTGATTAATTTCCTCTTGAATTTGCCTCCCAAGAGACACCACTTGAGTTCAAAATGATAAACTAAAACCACAAAAAGATATACAAATGTAACCTTTAGGGTACCTGAGAACAATTATATTAGTGTTACAGGCTTTAAGGTTAATATGGACCAATAAATAGCACCCTGACATAAGTCGAGGCAATATTAGACCATATAAAAATCACAAAATGTATATATATATATGCATTTTAAAAGACAAAAAACCTCACCTCCTTGATATCTAACCAAATTCAGGCATACAGGGTTCTTAAATAACCATAATCACATACACACTTAGTGAAAGTAACCAATGATCAATGAAAGAATGCTTGATTGATTTGTATAATTAATTAGTTAATAATTCTCTCACTTGGTTTTCCATCTTCCTCATTCTCATATCACATTAAGAACAACGTGAAAATATGCATGAGGTCACCAAGACGTGACTGCAGCTTTCTTTATAAGGAGCAGTTCATGGTGGGGGTGGGGGGGGGGTTAGCATCTAGAATAACCTCTAAATCACCTTCAATATTCTACATAGTGCTGTGTTTAGTGCCCGTATGCCTGAGGCTTTCAGAGGAGGACGAAAACACATTAGCGGCTGGACGAGCGGCGTGTTCAGAATATCGATTTGAAGCGTTATGAGGAAAATTAAGTGAGAGAGAGTTGACCTTGTGGATGTACGGAGTGAAAACACACACACACCTGATGGAGTGTGTGATGCAGTGTGTGATGGAGGAGTGAGTGATGGAGTGAGTGGTGAGTGGAGTGTGTGAGTGATGAGTGTGTGAGTGGAGGAGTGTGTGATGGAGTGAGTGATGAGTGTGTGAGTGGAGGAGTGTGTGATGGAGTGAGTGATGAGTGTGTGAGTGGAGGAGTGTGTGATGGAGTGAGTGGTGAGTGTGTGAGTGGAGGAGTTTGTGAGTGGAGGAGTGTGTGACACAGTGTGTGATGGAAGAGTGTGTGGAGGAGTGTGTGATGGAGTGAGTGATGAGTGTGTGAGTGGAGGAGTGTGTGATGGAGTGAGTGGTGAGTGTGTGAGTGGAGGAGTGTGTGATGGAGTGAGTGATGAGTGTGTGAGTGGAGGAGTGTGTGATGGAGTGAGTGATGAGTGTGTGAGTGGAGGAGTGTGTGATGGAGGAGTGTGTGACGCAGGGTGTGATGGAGTGAGTGTGTGAGTGGAGGAGTGTGTGATGGAGGAGTGTGTGATGGAGGAGTGTGTGGCGGAGTGTGTGACGCCGTGTGTGATGGAGTAAGTGATGAGTGTGTGATGGAGGAGAGTGTGATGGAGTGAGTGGAGGAGTGTGTGATGGAGTGTATGACGCAGTGTGTGATGCAGTGTGTGATGCAGTGTGTGATGCAGTGTGTGATGCAGTGTGTGACGCAGTGTGTAATGCAGTGTGTGACGCAGTGTGTGATGCAGTGTGTGACGCAGTGTGTGATGCAGTGTGTGATGCAGTGTGTGATGCAGTGTGTGATGCAGTGTGTGACGCAGTGTGTAATGCAGTGTGTGACGCAGTGTGTAATGCAGTGTGTAATGCAGTGTGTGACGCAGTGTGTGATGCAGTGTGTAATGCAGTGTGTAATGCAGTGTGTGACGCAGTGTGTGACGCAGTGTGTGACGCAGTGTGTGATGCAGTGTGTAATGCAGTGTGTAATGCAGTGTGTGACGCAGTGTGTGACGCAGTGTGTGACGCAGTGTGTGATGCAGTGTGTGATGCAGTGTGTGATGCAGTGTGTGACGCAGTGTGTGACGCAGTGTGTGACGCAGTGTGTGACGCAGTGTGTGACGCAGTGTGTGATGCAGTGTGTAATGCAGTGTGTAATGCAGTGTGTGATGCAGTGTGTGACGCAGTGTGTGACGCAGTGTGTGACGCAGTGTGTGATGCAGTGTGTGATGCAGTGTGTGACGCAGTGTGTGACGCAGTGTGTGACGCAGTGTGTGACGCAGTGTGTGATGCAGTGTGTGATGCAGTGTGTGACGCAGTGTGTGATGCAGTGTGTAATGCAGTGTGTAATGCAGTGTGTGACGCAGTGTGTGACGCAGTGTGTGACGCAGTGTGTGACGCAGTGTGTGATGCAGTGTGTGACGCAGTGTGTGATGCAGTGTGTGATGCAGTGTGTGATGCAGTGTGTGATGCAGTGTGTGATGCAGTGTGTGACGCAGTGTGTGGCGCAGTGTGTGACGCAGTGTGTGACGCAGTGTGTGGCGCAGTGTGTGACGCAGTGTGTGATGCAGTGTGTGATGCAGTGTGTGATGCAGTGTGTTACCTTGAAGGATGTTCCTCTGCTCCAGCTCGTCGACTGACGGCCTCTGACTCAGCCGCCTGCATGAAGAAAACACAGTTGAGTCAGCGCTTTAAAAAGGCTCATATTGATCCTGTTAGAGGAGCATCATTCATCTGGAGCTGCATAACAAACTGTATGAGAGCGGAGAGCCTCTCAAACACATGATTTACAGCATGAAGGGCGGATGGAATCTGTCACTCTCAGGGGTGGAAGGTACATTTATTGAAGTACTGTAAGTGTGTATTCGAGGTACTTGTACTTCACTTTAATATTTTCTTTTCATGCCACTTTATACTTGTTATGCCACTACAATTTGAAATGGAAATAATCTACTTTAGTTAATTTATTGAACAGTTTTAGTTACTATAATAATTTAAACGTTTGATTAAAAAGAGCTGTTTCACTTGAACAATTTATATTTTTAGGGTAAAATATGATATTGATTTAACTTAGTTTTTGTAATGTTTTTATATATATTTGTAATAATACGTTTCTCTTAAATGTAATACTTAAGTTAATTATAATGACTTGTTTTCACTTAAAGGTAGGGTAGGTAAGAATGGAGAAACCAGCTTGAGTGCGCTAGAAATTGAAAGTACGCTGCCGAAAAAAATCTGCCCCTTCCTTCAGACTTCCTCACAGAGCCCCTCCTCCAACACACACGAACGCACACATGACCAATGAGGGCACGAGATAAGTTTGTGCACGAGATGGAAGGCTGACAGGCAGGTAGGCCATCCAATTATCTGCAGCGGGCCAAGGCAGACAATTGGACTTGCTTTTTACAGCGCCACGGCTTCCACAGATGAAATATTTGTATATATTTATTGTCAAAGCATTTAATGTATTCATTGCTTTCAGGATGTTAAGAGCATTCCATGGAATATAAAAAAAAGTGTTTCTGATATACATATTCTATATATATTATTTATTTACCGTGTCAGTGCGGTTCCGATCTTGTTCCTGACGGCCATCCACTGTTCTCGGCTCTGCCAGCTTATGTCCTGGTTCTCCTGGTTCTCCTGGTTCTCCTCTCGCTCCTGCCGCTCCAGCCTCAGCGCCAACGTGTCCTTCCTCTTCACACGACTCGCCAGACCACCTGGATCACATCACAGTTTATATACTACAAGTTATGTATACTACATAGTACTATACATTTTACAATCCAAACATTAAACGATAAGTTAAAATCCTGCATCACCTAACAAAGAATGTCAGTGTTCATGAGTATAGACAACAAACTAAGTATAAAACTTAAATGCTCTTAAAAGAGTGTAAGAGACCATGATCTGGCATTATTATTTACAATTATATATAAAAAAGACAACTACAAAAAGCTGCTTTGGGAAATGAGGCCCAGAATAATTTACATGTCTTCCATTGCTAGTGTCACACATTTTAAATCAAGCATCTCTTAAAAAAAGAACGGAAGTGTTCATGATAAAAGTATAGACTTAAACATTTGAATACAATTAAAAAATGAAGATGCTCTTAAAGGTCCCATGTCATGGCCATTTCTACTGATCATAATTACATTGTTGAGGTCTACTAGAATAGATTTACATTGTGCAATTTTCCAAACTCACATTGGTTTCTCATACAGCATCTCTGTATAGTATGTGTATTCACTCTCTGTCCTAAACGGCTTGTTGGAGCTCCTGCCCCCCCCCCCCCCGTCCCTGTGAGCCCAGTGGCCGTCTGCGAGACAGCGAGACACAGCGAAACCCAGCCCGAACACACACACCCGCAGCCTGGCTGGGAGTTTGTGTGTGTGCCGAGGCTGAGTTCCGCGGTGTCTCGCTGTCTCGCCGACCCCACACCAGTGAGCCGGCTCACAGTGTCCCGCTCCTCGCAGCAGCGAGCCTCGCAACGTCCCGCCGAGTGTGTGTGTGAGGAAGTCCGCGGATTGGTCCAAACGTAACGGCCTTCGCGGACGTAACGGCTCCGCGGACGTTATAGTTAAGTTACGTCTCTATACCCGAAATACGTCACTATACAAGTAGTAAACGATAAGAGAAATCTCCAACGAGGCGTTTTGGGGCAGCATCGACAGGTCTTTTCTGTGTTAAGAGTTTTACTCGCTACAGGGTGTACTTTGAGGGATTTGACTCTGCAGACCGTTTACATGCAGAAAAACCTTCATAACACAAGGGGACGGGTAATAACCAGAAAAGCATGACATGGGACCTTTAATGTCAAACAAGAGGGTAAGAGACCCTCATGAATCTACCATCAATTTCTAAGAGATTCAACACACTTTTAAGCCTTGTTATGCTTTCAGAAAAAGGACCCAAAACAATTACTATTTCAAAAAGATTAGTATAAAATCTTATCCTCCAAAATGTTGTTAGGGCCAAACCCTCAAAGATGATTCATCTCCTCTTAGTAAGACAAAGCAAAGCAGTGAGAGATCTTCAGATTCCACAAGCTGAAGGTTTATAAAAACTATCCGGTATTATAAAACTACTAAATGGTTGCATCAAACTTTTTCAGTCGCACATTAAGCGACTGAAAATACTTATTATGATCAGTTTTAAAGAACATAAAAAAGCAGTATATTTAAAGAACTGCTTTTTCAACTTCTTAAAAAGTCATTTCCAAGCATTTTTCACACTTGGGTTGATCTCCTATACTAGTATAAGAAAGTGAAACGTACTTGGAGGCCCTTCCTCATCGTCGTCGTCGTCCTCTTCGTCGTCTCGGTACAGGATGGGGCCGTCGGAGTCGCTCTCCTCCTCGCTGTCGCCCCCCACCCCCTCCTGGATCACACTGACCCTCAGGTCCACCAAGCCCCTCCGGCTGCGAGGCTCCAGCTCCGGCTGGCGGGGGGGGCGGGCGGGGTGCAGCTTCCTCATCTCTTCCTCCAGGTCGAAGTCATCGTCTTCTTGCCTGTGAACAACCACAGATTTATTAATAGTCTTTAATGTATAAAAACTCCCAAAAATATGATTTATTCCAGATTTATCGATGTAGGAACCAAGGCTAAAAGATGACTGGCTGTAAGGTTACAACTAACAATTATTTTAAATACTTATTATTCATATACATTTGTTTTCTTTTGATCGATACATTTTTATTTGGCGTCTAAAATCTCATAAAATTGTAAAAAAGGCAATTTTCAAGAACACAAGGGAATGCCATCAAATGTCTTCTTTTTCTCAAATAAATGACGAGAACCCAAATACATTTATTAGCTTTTATGGAAGGCAAATAAAAATAGCTAATGGTCACATTTGTTGGGCTGTACACAATTCACTTTTTAAGCAAGGCGTTTTTCTAATTCATCAAGATTTGTTTCTGTTTTTTGGGAAGCATTGGAGAAAAACTCTCTTTAGGAATTCAAGGTCACACAAGAAATGTCATTGATATGAAATGTGGTGGGGTTGAAGAAGTACTCCTTCGACCAAATCAAAACTTCTTCTTAAAAACGACATATTCTGCTAATTGTATGGCAGGGATTTTAAGCTTTGCAGACCATTGACATGCAGACAAACCTATAGAACACACTACAGGAAAGGGAAAACCCCATGCAGCACAACAGGGCCTTTTTAATGACTAAACAATCCTCATCCTCAGCGTTCAAAGCAACAATACGCTGTTATTTGTTCAGTCTGTGGCTATAAGTATGGTTTTATTGTCTCGTGCTTTTACATTAGTTTCTTTTTGTCCTATCCGTTTTGTCTAAATGTATTTATGCTGCTTTTTTATATATATTTATTGATGTACAGCACTTTGGTCAACTCTGTTGTTTTTAAATGTGCTATATAAATAAAGTTGGATTGGATTGTACAACAATATTTTGTATTACTGCCGATTTTTGTTCCATATTTTATTCCTTCTTATTCCATTCCACTGCAATGTAAATACTGCTATATCTTACTATATTTTTTATAATTTTTTATATTTTTCTAGTTCTCTACCTGTGTTTTTAATTCTTGTTTTTATGCACCACGACACCAAGTCAAATTCCTCATACATGTAAACCTACCTGGTAATAAACCTGTTTCTGATTTGTTATATAATCGTGAAATCTACAGTTTGTGTTACACTTACAGCCTGAGGGGCTCGATGGTGATGGGCAGGGAGTTCCTGGTGGGCCCCTCCTCCAAGAGGAAGTCTGGCGGGGACTCAAACAGCAGGGAGTGGGCCCTCTGGGACCCCTCAGGGTGGGGCTGAGACAGGCCGGGGCTGTTAAGCGCTCTCTGGATCAGGATGTGCAGGGGGATGGCTGGAGGCTGGCTGGGGGGCTTCGTGGTAGGGCTGGGGGGGTCAGTCTGCACCGTGGGAACGGTGGAGGTGGGGGGCTGAAGGGACTGAACCCTGGGGGGGGATGGAGGGATGTGAGCGGGCGGGGCAGGCAGAGTTTCAGAGGGGCTGAGGGGAGTGTTTGAGACCTCCTCTGTGTGTTCTCCTCTATGGACAGCAGGGGGCGGCGGTGCAGCGGCTGGGTCAGCGACGGGGGGAGAGGGGTCCTTATCGGGGGCCGAGGGGTCCACAGAATGGCGCTTTGTGACGGGGGTCATCCTCTTTGGCGGCGTCGGGGGCGAGCGCTTAGCGGGGGCTGGCACTGTGATGAAAGCACTACCAGGCTGCGAGTGCTCGGCTGGTAGAAGACAGAAAAACAGCAGGAGTTAATACAAGTGAGAAAGAATAATTCACATTAAATATAATGTACAGGCAGGCAGAGCATGAGGATGCACGTCGGTCTGGATTGAAATGAAGTTAGTGCCATGAACAAAAACAAGCAAATTGTCAATAACTATAGATTAAGAGGGGTAGAAAAGATGACGTTAGTGTTACTGGTGATCTGGAGTCAGTGGAGGGTGATAACATCCATTGGTTGAACATCCATTGTTATCAAGAAACACATTCAACGCACAGCAGCACATCTAGACGTCCATGCATTGTTTCTTGTCTGCATGGAGAGTTAAGTTGGTTAAGATGAAAGTGAACCGTGTGAAAGGGTTATGTGGGTAAAGAAAGGAATAACATAAGCGACGGAGGGGGGTAATATTCTGAGAAATAAATATGAGATTCCAAAATTCAACTTCAGAGAAATGATAAAAAACTGTGAAGAAAAAAAGAAATAAACCCTTAAATTAAAGAAATATGAAATCACACAATTTCACTAAAGAAAGTTAAATATTCTCTGATGTAAAAAAGTTAGGGTTTGAAGTAAAACATTTAAAAGGAAAAACAGGGAAATACAGTGTTGTTTTTAAATGTAATATTTCTATTATAATATTAATAAAAAGACAATATTTCAACATTTGTGTGTGTGTATGTTTTACTTAAATCTCATCAAATGTTGTTCTCCTACATTTTGAGTTTTAAGTGTGAGATTTGTGTTTCTATTCTCCTCAAATGCACCACTGAAACTCAGAGAATACAAGGGTATACTTTTTCATAAATGCCTGTTTTTAAATCTTGGAAATCCTGATTCTTTTCTCAGAATATAATGCCCCTCCCCTCCGCTCTGTATCTTTCATTCTCTTCCCCTACATTGGCCCCATTACATCTCTATTGTAAACAACTCCTGTAGCTGCAGAACACATGCAATGGCGATTACATGAGGGGAGGATTTGCATGTGCAATGAGGCGTTGACTCCAGTCTGCAGACTCTGTTAGGATGCATGGAGGGGCGCCCCCCCGCTGGGTACCTGAGCAGGTGTGAGCCCCTCTGTGTCTCAGGTAGACGGGCAGCGAGAGGTAGAGGCTGCTCCAGGATCTGCAGGAGGGATCAGCCTGGCAGACTGTGCTCAGGGTCGAGGCTGCACACAACCAGCGAGAGGCAGGGAGACAGTTTACATTCCAGTATGAGAGGGGGGGGGGGGGGGGGGGGGGGATACAAGAGGAGGGGGGGCTGATAACGATTTTCTGGGTTTGACAGTGTCCAGAAGCAGAGCGAACATCCACCGTTTAAAAACAAACCGCTGTGGAGGAATAACTCTGAACACAAGATGAGACTTGGGGTCTACGATGCTGTCAGCTTTGTAATACCCTCTTAAAAGGTTTCGGGTACCTACTTACTGTATATCGTGTATGTCTTTACTTTATTGTAACAAGTATTATAAGTATGAGATTTGGGATATTTATCGTTGGCTCATAGTTTTGTTTTAACTGTTTTTTCACTTTCTTTGTTTCTCGTAAAATAGTTCCTCCAGGGGATGAATCACAGAGAAACCCATCTGCACTCGTCTGATCTTGTCAATCCCTCTTAGAGCTAAACCTATAAATCATCTGAAGTCAGATTATTGCATATATTTCGTATCAGTTTATATGAACTTGCAGAATAGAAATGAAACACTCAGTTTAAATTGTTTGAATTGCCTCCACCCAGAAAACCAACCGCTGTGGACGAATAACTCCGAGCACAAGATGAGTTTGGTTGATTTACAGGGTATATGCAGGAATCCTGAAGTAAAATGTAAGACCCTTTAAGACCTTTTTTAAGACCCTTTCCATACATTTTAAGACCTAATCGCCACTTTGAGTTTTAACCGGTTACCTTGGCGACACACTTTACCTCACATTTACTATATACAGTATTGATTGTCCTTCCTCCTTATCTTCCAACCATTTGGACGCAGACTTGCATTTCCCCATAACGATGTTGTTTAACAACCGGCGTAAACGGACCTTCGCGCTATCAAGCAGTGAGCGTGCGATGTCCTGTTCAGATGACGTCCAATCCAACGGGATGCCATCAATAAACTACACAGAATCACACTACACACCTACGCAATGATTACATTCAGGCAGACTGTAGAATACAACCTCTTTGGACAATTGATATACTTATTGAAAACAAGCTACAGAATGTAATACCTTGGAAAATGCAGTTTAATACTTTTTAATAGCCATCATTTTCGCTAAATTGATTTATCAACTTTTAATACTTTTTAAGACCCGGCAGACACCCTAATTTGGGATATTTATTTCATTATTTCCAGTAAAATAGTTCCTCCAGTGAATGAATCTTAGGAAAACTCATCTGCATGTGTTTCCTTTCCCTTGGAGCTACAACAGTAAATCCAGAATCTGATTATTGTAGATATTTAGAAACCCATTTATACATCAGTAAGTTACATCATTCTCAGTTCTGTATATAAATGCAAAATTGTCACTTTTACAGCATTTTGACACCGAGAAGCACTCAAAAAGTCTCCTCTAATTTCAGCTTTAATCTAAAATTGTAAAGGAACATTTTCAGTTTTTTCCGTTTACAAATTAAGGAAATAATTCATTTAATTAATGTATTAAATCAGTTATGTTAGTGTAGGCCTTTGGGTAGAAAAGACAAGATAACATGTGCATTTATTTATGTATTATGTTTATAATATGTCAATAAACCATCTGTTTTCTATATATCATATTTAGCATCGTGTGTTGACACGTGTTTTTAATATTAACATTTTTATTTAAAAAAGGAAAGGATATTAACGTTGTTGCTTATTTCTCAGCAATTTGTGCATTTTTTTGTATTTGCGCAACATCTTGTAACGAATGTCCTATTTATGAGATATTAAATGAAAGTATATCAACTTAAAAGTACCAGTGTTTGCCTCAGATATGGATAGGCTCTAATCCCTGTGATGTTTATGAAAACCTTTTAGTGAGAAAGGATAACTGGCAATATGTCATAATCAAGAAGTGAAAAAAAAGAGAGAAAAATAGAAAAACATAAGATGTATCCAAAGTGGATTTCAATGCACTTAAGGTGTGTATCTGCAGGTCAATACACTGAAACAGACACTTTAACGACACAATCCATGTAATCCGATAATGTAGCACCTAGAGAAACCTGGCTGACGGACAGCGGAGGAATGTGTCACAGAGACTCAGTTTCAGAGAGACAGCACCGGGCTGTAAACAATAGCAGCTGAGGCATGCTGGGACAAATCACTGAGATACTAAGAGCGGTTTCTATCAAACCTCCAGAGAACGGCTGGCTCAGCAGAAATCTGCGGAGATAATCCGCTGCGTGTCCGCTCCCAGGAGACGCAATAGCAACGCACAGGAAAACACCTAGAGCAACGCACAGGAAAACACCTAGAGCAACGCACAGGAAAACACCTAGAGCAACGCACAGGAAAACACCTAGAGCAACGCACAGGAAAACACCTAGAGCAACGCACAGGAAAACACCTAGAGCAACGCACAGGAAAACACCTACAGGACGAGCAGCTCTACCAGACTCATTTGGGAAGTACTCAAGGTACCGTAAATACTTGTAAAAAAGAGCCTTGGACATTTGAGAAGGAGCATATTAACTTTTAGTCTACTAGAAAACTATTTCTAAGACAACATATAGCTGTAATAAATATATTATTACCTAGTACTTATTACTTAGTTTTATACCCCTTTTATCTAGGCCCTTTTTGTCGCACGATAAAATAATTAGTGGCGTACATTTATTTTTGCGTTAACGCGTTAACTTGACAGCCTAGTATCAGTGGCGTAACAAGGTTGTGATTGGCCCCGGTGCAAATATTGTTTTCGTCACGCAGGGTATCACATGACATGAAAGGGAGCAAGGTCATTGGACAGACAAATTACAAATTAATTTAGGTTGCTTGGTTACTTTGAAGACTGCGTGAACCGGTCAATGCCATTGGAGCCCCAAAAAGAAAATATGAAATATATATATATATAAAATCTACACACAAACAACTGATGATAAAACATGTCAACAAGCAAAGAAAGAAACAACAAAACCATCAAAAAGTAACATCTGCATCTAAAAATACATGTGAGAACTATTTTTTTTAATTTGACTTTTAACCTAGGCTAATTCTACTGATATCATGTTTTATTGTAATGTGATTGTTACATATTTTAACATCAATGCTTTTTCTACATGTTCTGGTAAGCACTTTGGGCGGCGTCCTTGCATGAAAGGTGCTCTACAAATAAAGTTATTATTATTATCTGCATCTTTGAAATAGGTGTGGGTGAACAAAAAGATCTGTAATATATATTCTAATTAAGAATATAAGAGTATCACAGGCAGAACAAAATGACTCCTGTAATAATAAGTGATGCAAAATGTTAAACGCCTGCAGACGCCCGAGTGTAAATTAAACCCTGATGACTTTGTTGTAAATAGTTAGTTGATAAAACACGTTGTTGAGCAGCACCATATCTACTTAATTAAAACATTAATTTAGATGTTATTAAAAGAGATGCAATACAAATAAGAGTTATGGAATAACTGTATGTCACACATGAATGGAGCTAATTTATTTTTGATTAATCTGCATGGTTAAATCAGATATATAAGGCGTTTGGATTAAATAGATAATATAACAGATGTGCAATCTTTATTAATGAATTGAACCGAGGATCAGTGTTTCCGCCAGACCAGGGCTGAGAGGGCGTCCACCCCGAGAGCGAGGGGGGGTGTGACGTCACGTCGTGTCACGTGACTTCAATTTTGAATTGAGCCGTCCCTTTATAGATACTATCTCTTTACGTATTTGTGATGGGAATTCCGGCTCTTTTTAGTGAGCCGGATCATTTGGCTCGGCTCACTAAGAAGAGCCGGTTCTTTCGGCTCCTAAACGACTCTTCATGTTACCACAGTTTACCACGGAGCCTCAGTTTCGCCGCTGCGAGGCTCCGGCACTCGCAGTTCACATGCGTGCTCCACTAGCACCCCCCGTCTAGTCTCGCCGGCAGTACACTTTCCGTCACAGGAACACGCTTTGCTGGCGGCGAAAAGAATCCCACCAGACTCCTTTGCCCCTCCAACAGAGGGATGTCCTTGTCCTTTTTCCTTTTCATCATTTCAAGCTATAAAAACTCTCGATTTTTTGTCAAATGATGGCAAGACGCCCCCTTGGCGGAAACGCTGCAGAGGATAATTGAACAGTAATCCAGCTACACTAAAGCAAAACTGGGAAATACGTCAATGCTCAATGCGATGTTTGCGTCCCCTGTTTGTTTCACATGGGTGTAACTAAGTCAGTGTGTTCTTTAATGTAAACAGATGCAGTCTGTCAACACAAATGTGTTCCCTGTGTAAATATTGAAGTCAAACTCTTTTATCGTTAGTCTTGTGAGGTCCAACTTGTTTTTACTAGCTCAATTTGTACCATTTACTACTTAAACTCAAAGATTGTATTCCCAGGAGCTAATTAAAAGTATTTTTGGAGGTAATTTGATTAAAAGAAGAAAGACAGATAAACTAAGACCAGATGTTTTTTTTTTATAGAAAGACATCCCATAAAACAGAGTTGATGAACTCACCGAGCAGGGTGCTGTTACGGTTGGTGGGTTTGGGTGGAGGGACGGGCGGCTGTTTGGCGTGGGGGGGGATGGGGGGCGGAGTCTCGGAGTCAGGAAGTCTCGGAGGATCTTCAATCATCAGGGAGACGGTCCTCGGGGGCTTGGCCACCGCTACAGCAGCAGAGGAAATGGAAGAGGTGGAGGAGGAGGATGATGAAGAGGAGGAAGGTGTTGGACTCCTGCCCGAGTCTGTGAGGAACTTCGGGGGAAGAAGAGCCTGTCGGGTCGGGGGAGGGTCCGGGTGAGAGTCTGGGTGAGGGTCTGCTACTGGACGAGGTTCTGGACGAGGTTCTGAGGCGAAGCGGACACCAGCGGACTCTGAAGGAAGGAAACACACAAACAGATGTTAAAAGAACACAAAAACAGTTCCTACGTTTGAAAACTCAACACAAGGAAAAACTGAAAAATTGACAATAAAATAACTTGTTTTTTCTTCATTTGGAGCTTTTATTTGAGCTTTTTGCATGAAGATTTGATTTTCTGTCGCTATATTTTAATAAAGTCATCACGCTAAAAAGTTATTAAAAAGTAACTTACATAATTCTCAATTTAAATAGACATTTTTAAATAATATAACTCTTCAGTGCGTGCCCCCCCCCCCCTCCCCTCGTACAGCAAGCGGGAGATCAAAGTGTGTTTCAAGCACGGTGAAAAGGTGTTTTTTGGAAAGTTTAAACGCCAACAAATATGATTTTAAGCAATAAATTAAATAAAACAATAAATTAGAAAACATGAATCTTTTCCCAATAAAATTAGATGGAAATAATGATATCTCACGTGTCAGAAATAATCCTAAACAGCCACCAATCAAAGGGAAGCCAATTCTACTAATAGTACGATACTAATAATGTTGGTTTAGCCTAATCTTTATGTGCAATTGTGCAGAAATACCTGCTAAATGAATGAATTAAGCAATGTACTATTCTGTACAGCGATTTCACGTACAGTAAAAGACTGAAAGATACTATCTAGACATGTTTTAGGAAATTAGAAAACTCTACTTTAAAAAACGAGATGTTAATGATCTAAAGATAATGTAGAAAACCCCAAAACGGCCTCATGCTTTGTTCCTTCTCTCTTCTCATGTTCTCCTTAATCTATCAAATCAAAGCTTGACGGTCACTGTTTCACTTTGAGGAAGCTTTCAGACGGAGCTTGTTGGCTTCATAACTCGGTCAGAATTACGGTTAAATCATTTACAGTACCATCAGGAGACTTTAGTCTGCAAACACTGTAGGTATTTAATCATCAGCAAAACATTTACTAGCCCACTATCTACTAGGAAATGGCTGGCAGAGCTGAAGAAACAGGACGTCTGCATGTTAGCTCACATGTCAACCTGACATAACGAAGGCACGTGCAAACATGTTGGACATAATTAGTTTGTTCACGGCTGAATCATATTAAAATCTCAAACTCCAGGCTAAGGTTATTTTGTATGAACAAGTATGGCGTACATAAAGGAAATGTCCGAAAAGAAGATTTTGAAACATTAAACAGTAAGCAAACTAACTATTAGTTTTAGTAAAACGTCTTGTAATCTGGATATACCCACACGTAGTTATTACTTCAGTGTCAAAGCCTCTGCCACAGTGAGACAGGCTTTGCAATTTGATCAGATAAGCTCCCTTTTAGATATACACATCAGATCTTGCTTTCAAATTGTGAGATTTGAGATAAACAAAACAGTTTGCAATCTGCATCACTGCTCAATCTTACCAAGATGTCCTATACTGTATGGAGAGTTTCTGTGCGTCATCCAGTTGCAATCTACTTTCAAAAAGGGTTCTTTCTGGATTTCGTTTGGGAAAACCTTGACTGTCAACTTTCCTTCTAGTTATTTAATTGACACTACATTTCACAAGATGGGTAAATGCACACATTTTCAGACTTTGATACCACATTTATATTCCCTAGAACAGGGCTATTCAATTAGTTTGGAATGGGGGCCGGTAAAAAGATGGCTTGAAATAAGAACAATCATATTAAGAGCTTTGGATACAGTAAATACGACAACAGCATAGTGGAGTGGATATATTGTGTTTAATTCAATCAAACAACATAGCCCCAAGGCCTTTATAGATCTAAATGGCAAGTTCAGAACTCAGTAGGCCTACATGTGAAGCTGATTTAACCATCAACATCATTTCATTTAATTTAGGTGAAATGATCTAATCATTCACGCAGAGATTCAATAAATGACAGGAGTTGTCACTACAGTAGCTAGTAGGTGGGTTCGAAACCCGAGCCCGCCGAAGTTTTCAGGCAATGTCTTCCCCTCTATCTCTGAATGCAACACCCTCTCTGGAATAAAGGCACTCTGGCCCAAAACAAAAATCGTAAAAAAAAACAACAAGTAGATTACTTTTTAACATTATACTCGAAGGGCCAGTAAATATCACCCCGGGGCTGGATTTGGCCCGCGGGCCGCCAATTGAATAGCCCTGCTCGAGACTCTTATATTTCAATATGGATTTGTCAAGTTCACCGTCAATAACAAAATGTTTTGGTTTCAAACTAGATTTAAAAATAAGAAGCACCTGGCTTCGACAAAAAACATGACTTAAAAATCCCCCAAGTAACTTTGGATGCGGGTGTCTAAAGTATAAAAACACACGCTAGGTAAGCCAGTTTTCTCCAACACAAGGGAAGATCTTACCTGAGCGTTCCCTGAACTCTGCAGCCGGTGAGTATCTGGGCAGAGTGATCCTCTTATCGGCCTCCGAGGCGGAGCGGATCTTCTTGTTTTCCTCCGAGGAACTTTTCTGCAGAGGAGGCCGCAAGTCCATCTCAGAGAAGGGCTTGGCGATGGGCCGAGGGTCGTCCACCGAGCGCTGAGGCTCCGGCTTTTCCCTCTTATCCCGCTCGTCCCTTCGCTCTCTATCGTTCCTCTTGGCCCAGTCGTCCCTTTTGTCCCGATCCTCCCGCCTCTCTCGGTTCTCCGTCCTATCCCTATCGTCTCTTTCTCTCAAGTCTTTCCTCTCCTTGTCGTCTCGTTCTCTGTCGTCTTTTCTGTCGTCTTTTCTGTCGTCTCTATGTTCTCTCTTTTCCCTCTCAGGCCGCCGATCCCTATCCTTATCCCGCTCGTCCCTCCCGTCCCGGTCTTTCCGTTCTCTTTCATCCCGGTCTTTCTTTTCTCTTTCGTCCTTGTCTTTCCTTTCCCTCTCGTCGCGATCTCTGCGTTCTTTCTCGTCCCGATCTCTGCGTTCTTTCTCGTCACGATCCCGGCGCTCCCGCTCATCCCTATCCTTTCTTTCCTTCTCCTCGCGATCTTTCCTTTCCCTATTGTCTCTTTCTGTCCGGTCATCCCGCCAATCCCGCCTATCCCTCCGGTCGACTCCACCGTCTCTTTCCTTTTCATCTCGCCAATCCCTTCTTTCTACGTCTTCGCGGTTCTTCCTCCCTCTGTCTTCCCGGTCGTCTTTCCCATCCCTCCTCTCTTCTCTACGGTACCTATCGTCCTGTGGAGGTCCTCGGGGTAACGATCCTCCTCTCTTATCAACATCGGATGGGAGTCGGCTTCTCCTGTCTGGCTCCACAGGAAGTCGAGCGTGAGAGTCCACGTCCAGAGGTGCTCTGTTACTCCGGGAGGCGTCGGACGGCGCTCTGCCTCGACGTTCCTCGGCTTGAGGAACCCGGAGGGAATTCAACTTGGCGTCGGATTCCCCTCGAGACATCTTGTCCACGTCCACAGGGTGTCCGTTTTTGACTGGTGGACCTTTGGAGTGGTTGACATCATTGTTTTCTGAAGACACAATCAGTGAAATACAGTCAAAAGGGAACCGAATCATCAAAATCAGTAGGGTTACACATACAAGGAATTTGGTGTAAATGGTGCATACAGAGACACACAAAGACATTTTTGTATTAGCAAAGAATAGTTCTATTATAAAAGCTATTTAAAAACTATTGTAACAAATGAAAAATAAAGCCAATATTTACACAAAAATATAAATATGAATATGCATGCATAGAATATCCTCAGAAAAGGCTCGACCTACCACTTTCTGGAATATCCTTTAAAACCCCTCTGGCAATCAGCTCTTGGCGGCTTTTTCGGACAGAAATCCTTCTTTCCAAGACTGAAAATAGAAAATATACAAAAGGGAAAACTATGAAAGAATTCTCACTGTGCACAAAATGGATGAATTCCCCAACACTCAGAGTAGATTCCCTAACACAGACTGTCATATTTAAATGTAGATTCTTCAAGTTTGTTGCCAATATCAAAAGATTTTATAGTTTTTCTAAGTAATAACTAAGAAAAGTAACGTTTGTGTCCAATGAAAGTGTAGAGTGATGCACACAACAAGTCATTACAACACCTTTAAACCAAACATACCTATTGATGTTTCAGTAAACTTGTCACTCGGCTTCTTCTTTCTCCATTTCCAGGGTTTGAAGATCCGTCCCATCTTGGAGAACTTTCCTTTGCGTTTGGTTTGTGGCGATCCCCCACTGGAGCTTCCTTCTTCGCTTCCTTTATTGCCTTGTTGCAGGTCGACCTCATCGTCTGCATGAACAGGAAAAACGGTAAATGAATCTTTAATATATTTAAAGATATTTAAAAGTCACCTATTATGCAAAATCCACTTCTTCATGTCTCTTCTACATCAACATGTGTCCCCTCTGTGTAAAGAGATTCTGAAAGTTTCAGGAAAAAAGATTCTCTCTTTTTGTCCTGATCCATTTATATAAAAACCTGTCTGAAAATGAGCTGATCAGATTTTGGCCACTTTATGATGTCATAACGATGTTTTGGCTTGTGTAACCATTAGCCAATCACCAACCAAGGTAACCCCCCCCCCACCTTATCACCTGAATCTCCTCCTAGAGCACCATTGTGTTCTTTATAACCAAATATCTCTCAGAGGGGCGTGGGGAGTGGCTCCTTATTTTCATCTAAAGTAACAGACAGAGAATCAGCACTTTTGAAACAGGGCTGAAACAGAGGGGATTATGGGTAATGCTGCAATGATCTGTTTGGTGTTTGGAGCCAAACACTTCAGAGACATGTTTTGTATATATCTGAGACCTATAATATATTGATGAAAAACAGTATAATAGGGGACCTTTAAAATAGTTCTACTAACTAGGCCTTGTTTTGCCAGGGGGAATTTATAGCCATGATCAAAAGAAGGCCAACGCAATCAATGTAAACAAAGAAAAACATAAATAGATCAATCACACGTAGAACAGTTCATTGTGCTTTTGTGTCGATGTCAAGTCCCTGCTATGTTGTCATTTAAAAACCTAGATATTATTAAGGTTTCACAAAATTCTTGGCATGCATCCTTTACAAAATTGGGCACATTGGAATTTTATCTTCACTCCCGCTAAATGCTCACATCCGGATAACAACTGCTGTGTTCTTTGAGGACAGCAAACACTACAGATCAGGAAATGTTCTGTTTCCGTGCCCAAATTACTGAACAAATTGTCATGATGGCCAAGAAAGGGGTAAATAAGGACAACATCTCAAATAAAAACCATAATTGCTTAACCTGTTAACCCCTGAGCCTGTTTTTCAGGTCTCAGGCTCGAAAATGACATTCCCAGAACAAATTACTATATCTTCACTTCTAAAAGGGGGTTAATTAATAATCTTTTTTCTCAAAGCAATGATAAACCTGTGAGTTGGATGTAGAAAAGTCAGAATCAATATACATTTATTTTTATTTTAAAGTAAATTCAGATTGAACATAGTAAAAAACATTAAATTATAGTGTCCGTCCAAAAAAAAAACATTACTTATAATGAAAACCACCCTTGAATGATGGGATCGGAGACTAAAAGCTTTAGGAATCCAAACTATAACATATAATAAGTACCCTGTATCAAGATTGATGCAAAACAAGTGACATTTGACCTTTTTAGAGAGTTTTGGAGAAAAAAAACACTTCTGGGGTCATTTGGGTGCATTTTCCATATGTCAGGCCCCCCTCTGTCGATTTTGATGATTGACACCTCTTTTGAACCGTTAGAGCCAATAGAATCGAGGGGCAGTTCTTAAAATTCATCTAAACATTACCCATTGGTGAATGAGTGATGCGTAGCCAGAATGCCCAAAACCGGAAGCTGGGTTATAGCTCTAATAGCAGCTAATATGAAATCTCAGTTTTTGACAAAAATGGAAGGATGGATTATCAGTAATCATTTCAAAGTGACACAGACACATTGGATTAACCTTCAGCAGCGTTTTTATCGTTTAAATGCCATTGAACACGACTTTTGATCAGAAACACAGCAAAGGTAAGACTATTTTCCGTGTTTGCTCCGTAAAGCTACGTCGTGTGATGTCTGGGTTTGCTTCCCCTGCCTTGATCGCTCAGTGATGATACTTATATTTCTAGAATCTGTGGAATCTCAGCTTGCTAGCTGATATCTTGTTTGTGCAGATCCGATAAGTAATAAAGTATTTCTACCGTGAGTTCTGTGCTAAGTGCGTTAGCATCTTTTCGCTCAGGGCTCATTTAGACGCTTCTTGTTAGACTTGTGTTTTGTTTCGGTAAAAATGGTTCATATCTTCAGTTAGCTGAGTTTCTTCCCGTTAAGTGGGTATGACACATTAATAGGTTTTTAAATGTTAAGAAGCCCTGAGACACAGTTTCGTGAAAAAAAGCGAGCAGCCCAGGTTAAAGGATTTCTATAGAATACAATTAAGCATGCCTGTATTATAGGATATAAACAAACTAGATTATGTCCAAAACATCAGATGTTATACTTGCCAATATAAACCTGATGTATGAGGAATGCAATTTAAAAAGTGCATTCCTAATTGCATTTCCACAAAAATCATCTAAAAACAAAACAAAACTGTCCCTCTTTTCTGGAGGCAACAGATCAGATTTCTCGGCTTTAAAGGTGGGGTAGGTAATTTTGGACAAACCAGCTCGAGTGCGCTAGAATTTGAAAATACGCAGCCGGAAAAAATCTGCCACTTCCTTACAGAGCCCCTCCTCCAACACACACAAACGCGCACATGACCAATGAGGGCACGAGATAAGTTTGTGCACAGATGGAAGGCTGACAGGCAGGTAGGCCATCCAGTTATTTTAGCCGGGCCGGCTCAAATGATTGGTCGTGCTTTTTACAGCGCCACGGCTTCCACAGATGACATTTTTGTATGGATTTTTTGTCAAAGCACTTAAGATATTCATTGCTATTGGGATGTTAAGAGCATTCCATGGAATATAACAAAAAGTGTATCTCGAGCCGGTTTCTCAAACTTACCTACCCCACCTTTAAGTTTCAATTTTCTTATATAATAAAACTTTAAACAAAAAACTATCCAAATGTTTTCTCACTGCCTTAGCTGTCATATGAGAGCCAGAGAGTGAAATATGGCCACAGCTTCTTCTGGTACTACTTACACTGTGGTGTGAATTCATGTGATTTATGCCATAGTACAGAACATTATCTGCAGGTGTCAGGTTCACCATCAATAAAACCAAAGTAATAATGAAACAAAGTAAAAAAACTTGTTATAGAGTTATTATTAAAAACCTTGGCTTTTAATGTGGGTTAACTTTCAATTCACTTTGTTTTGTGCATGAAAGGTGCTATATAAATAAAGTGTATTATTATTATTACAGAAACCGTGACTCAAAGTTTCCATGAAACAGCATTAAGGGAGTGTGAAACCACCATAATAATTCTTCAGTGATGAGTCTCACGGCAGCCGTTACACAACACTACAGCATTGAATGTAAAGGTGAGCTCATTCTCTCAGAGCGCTTACATTGAGCAATATTTGACAATGTGATGGTGGCATGCATGATGACAACTTGGGCATGTTGAGCCATGGTTTCCGTCACAGCTGTGTATTTGTTTAGTTTTACTGCGCTTAATTATTACTCTGGTTTAAAACAAAAATAGCAATTTTCTGATATTGATGGTGACACAAGCAGAGGATGTTCTATGATGAAAAAGGAATGTGTGCAATCGAGTAACATGAGTAACAGAGTGAAGTATTTTTATAATATTGGTGGTCTGTGACTCACTCAAGGTCATATGGAGCGGAGCCACTGTGCATTTCAGAAGGAGGAAATCTCAAAAGAAAAATGAGGGTAAAATAAATTAAACACACGCATCGTTGATAAAACGTGAGTACGTGTCCATAATAAGTGACTGATCCGATATTGGTGACACATTCCTTAAACATTTCTCAGAAACAAACTCCATGTGAGTGCTGTTGCAATGGAAAGGTAAGCTATAATCACTGACTTGTAACTAAATGATCTGTTTTTCAATATCATTCAGCTATAATTATACATGTATGTAAACTGTGCAATTCAGAATCAATATCTTATTAATGCTAATACAACACTGTATATATTGTAATATCCATAATGAAATATACCTGTAATAATTGATACTACATGTCACCGGTACAATATGCACAGTTTTACTTCAACTTCATATGTTTTTATAAATATTTGTATTCTATGTTATATGAACTTCTATTCTTACATTACTGAATGAAACAGAGTTCGATACATTTTAGTAAAAACGATGTATAAAGAATAAAATAATATAAATCATTGTGGACAGCCAATATGAACCGGGGAGAAATGTTGTGTTTGGAGCGGACATGAGAAACAATGGAAAGCAATGATAAAAAAAGGGACGTTGGGTTTCTTTTCAGCAACACTATGACTGACTGATTTCACCTGAATAAAATCCGACAGCTGGGATTTACCTGCCTTACCAAACACATTAAAGGCTTCAGGTGTGTCCCACATATGTTAAGGCCCGGACACACCAGCCCGATTTTGGGAGTCAGAGGCCGTCAGAGGCCGTCAGAGGCAGTCGGGCATTCGCGGCACCCTACTCAGGTTGGTGTGTCCCGCACCGTCGTCTCTTTCCGGCACCTTTTCACACCTCCCGACGCCTCCCGCGGCCGATTCAACATGTTGAATCGGCCGCGGGAGGTCAGAGAAAGTCGGGACAAGCAATCACTCTGATTGGCTGTTCACACTACCGCTGCCTGCTGGTAAGGACAGTTATTGCCACTCGTCGACTGAAGTATTTGCGGTGTGTTCGTAGGCGGGCGGCGTAGCTGACGCAGGCGACGTAGCTGACGTAAAAGTCGGGAAAAGTCGGGACGCCTTCGGTACACGTTCTTTGGTCTCAGGTGGGTGTGTAGCGGCCTTTAGACTGAGGGATTAAAGTGGATTGCTACCTTTAATAATCACTATAAACCCTGCCGATGAGTTTTCTAAGGTCACACAATGAGGACATTATTGCATTTTGAATGGAGGCGTTGATGATTAATGCATTATGTATTTTTCCATAACTAGAATTTGATCAGTCAGGAATATAAGAGCAGGGTTAGGGTTAGCGTATTTGTGTCTTTGTGTTCTTGTTGCTGGCAGTTTCCAAACAGTTAAGATAAATGTGCTTAATGTTTGGTGGTTAACCTTAATCTCACCACATCCTGTGGACACAACCGTGTGGTGGTCAAAACGTCTGATAGTCATGTCGTGTAGTTCTCCTATTACCATTACACAA